GAAATGGTTCACTAAGACGTTCTCCACTCTTCCTGCCGATGCGTCTTCAGCGGCTACATCAGCCTCGGAACCACTTGGTGCTGCCAGTACAACATCTACTGCGGATCAAGAACGCCCTCCGGAGTTTTGCTACTGCAAGTCTGTGAAGGCTGGCGAGGTACTGCGATGTTCCAACAACGATTGCAGTATTCGTTTGTTCCACATGGCTTGTTTGCAGCTGAAGAGTAAGCCAAAGCGCAAGAACTGGACCTGCCCGGAGTGTCGCAAGATTAAATCTGCCACTAAATAATGATATGCATGTACAATTACAGTGGTAGCGACTTCGGCGACAAGTTTATAGGAATGTTGGTCGCTAAGTACAACGTTCGTCAGCCTACTCAAGCTCAACTGCATGAGGGGTGAATTCCCCGAAACACTGTGTATTGAGCAGGGAGTGGTGCTTTCTTGCAGGTTTGCCGGAAGGAGGGCTCGAGGGACTTCTTCTCTGCTCTAGATGGCAGTTGTGAGTCAGTCAAGTGTCTGGATGGAAGTCGTGAGTTTGTCAAGTTTCTGAATGGCAGTCGTGAGTCAGTCAAATGTCCAGTCAAGGCGGCAGAAAAGCTCGACCTCTAGTATGGGGTGCAACCAACTTTCCATGTACATAGTCATTTTTGTCGTAGCATTTGTAAATCCAAGTCTCAAGCATTTGAGAAGTGATTATATTCATGGAGCCTGCTATTCTGGTATTTCTAGAGTTGCATTTTCAACTTGTTCTGCTGTGCCTTCCATGGTACTTGCTGTTGCACTTGCCACGTGTGTGCATACAATCGGTGGCTGGGCTTTCACAACGATTTCCGTTACCTTTCTTGTATTTCTTTGCTTGCATGTATCTCTGAAGGACCATAATGCTGATTCGTATTTGTGGGTCCCAGGACATGCGTGAAGACCACTCACTGCTTATGCATGTGAACAGAGGAACTCCATCATTACACATCAAACACTTCGCTCTTTACGTCTCTTCCGGGTGATGTTGGCATAAGTTGAGTTGTTCTTTGGTGCTGGGCATACTACATCTGATGGTACATCGCGCACTACCCAGCACCCTAAGTTGGGTTTCAGGGCTATTCATAATTATTATATTGTGTTGTCCCTATTTGGACCACGAGTCATTATATTGATGCAACAAGAAACGGAGGCATGTCGTGAGTGATGATAGAAGCCATTATTATTACTATTATTATAAGTCTGTTGGCGTTGCCATGACCAAGCAAGCTTGGCTAGCCAGACAAAAGAAACTAGAAACAAGCGAGGTCAATGAGGTGAACACATGCGCATGCAACTGCAGAATAGGTAAAACAGAGATATAATTGCCGGTATATCCAGACAGTCCAAAAAGCACAAAGGGTTAATAATAAATTTGAATAATAATATAATAATAATATAGCAATCATTACAGCTGACAAAGCGGCATGATGTAATTTACTCGAAAGGTACGACGGACTCACAACAGTTGCACAGAGCACAGCAGACGGTGACAACCTTGTCAATGAATGCACATGATGTAGCTTTATCGTCATGCATGAGGAAAGCAATGGGCAAAGTGCCAGAGAGGATCGTGTATTTCTGGCGAAGCATTCCAATCACTCGCTCCACATGGATACGGACGCGTGACACTTGTCGAGCACTGTCCAATTTCAGCCTGGAGAGTTGCTTCTTCCCCTTCGTAAATGAGGGCATCACCAACTCTGCGCAGAACATGCCAACGCTGTCTTCAACAGTGAAACCACGGTCAGCCAGCACCTGGTCACCCGGATTTAGGTGACTAAGCAGACCGCAGTGCTCTGTGATGAACTTGTCTGAGGCTCTCCCGCCCCATGCATGCGAAATAAATGTAATGACACCTTGTGGCGCTACGCCAATCAAAAACTTTGCAGTGTTATGGCTTTTATAGTGAGAGTACGTTTGAGCTCTTGCCATCAGATCAGAAGGTCGTTCACAAAAAACTTCAAAGCAGTCAATAATGACAGCACAGCCCGGGAAATGCTTACGAAATTCAAGTGGCAGAGTTTTGCGTAGTTCGTCCCTTTCCGGCCATTTGACAAGTGGTCCCAGCATCACATGCATCACCCGGATCCAGCGCTGGAAAATCCGGCACACGGTCGACTGGTGAATGCCGAATCTGTACGCCAAGTCTTGGTCCCGACAATTCAGCCGAAGCTTCATGAGAACAATCAAGAACTGCTGGAAGAGAGAGAGCGTGTGGCGGTGGTGCTGTGGAACTCTCTTCCTCACGTGTTCAAATATGCCCATCATGGTCCCAAAAGACTGCAAACCAGTGTAGAAGAGCACCTTCGCGTTGTCTTTCTCAAACGACTCGATTGACAAGGTGTCACCTTGTCCTGGAGCGTGTGGCATCCGTTTGCTTTCCAGGACCAAACAGTTGTTTGTCTCCTCCAGCCGCGTCAAGTGCTCCATATCCATGTCAGTCTGCGATGAGACACTGGAGACTGCTACAGGATCAGACTCTACCTCTGCACCATAGGCACCAGGCAAATCTGCCATTGCCTCTGTGAAGTCATTCCCGGAGGCGTCCACTTTCACTGGTGTCTGCGTCTTGCTCTCCTCGAACGTCAGCTTCCGCTTCGCTCGGCGTTCATATGCCACCAAATCCCTCTCCGCTTTACGCTTTACAGGAGTCCTGACATGTTCAAAAAGTTTCGGAACGTAAGCGGGAGATAGTGGATCGTTGCTCTTCTCTGCGCCTACGAAATGGTCTGAACAGATCCTGCTACTGTCAGTTGGCTTCCAATTCTCTCGTCTCATAGCCGCAACCCATAGTTTGCGCCGCTCGTCCGCTACAGGAAACTTGTAAAACTTCACAGCCGTTCCAGGATCGGCACGATTGCTACATCCGACGGCTGCACAACTCTTCGGCATGTTGAAGGCTAAAAACTTCAGCAAGCGAGACACCAGCGGAAATCAAAATAAAAGTGAGGAACGATATGTCGACAACCAACAACAAATTTTACTTTTCCTCTCAAAGACTAGTAAAAAATAGTTCAAGCAGAAACGACTTCATTTTGCCACCCCTGCCACTCGCAGCCGCCTTGGCGCTCCTCGTGACGTCATTCGCATAACCCGACTCCCTGGTTGAAATCATGGCGACTGCATACATGTACATGTACATACATGTAGGCGTGCACATGTGCACAATCACTTGAACCAGGGAGTCCGACTCCCTGACTTGAACTAGGGTGTTCGGTGCCTCGAACCCAGGCGCATTTTGAGTGGAAACAGTTTTGTACGGGGTGCGTGGCACAATCGTACATCACTGTGCTTCTTGCCTTGGCAAGGTAAAATTTTAGCAGCTCAGGACGAGTTTGTTTCTTTGCTGGAAAGAGGAGATGTCTCTGCTGTTGAGACCGTAAGTCCCGTTTCCACACGACGAATTTTAGCAATGTTACGCCCTGCGCAACTTCAGGGTATCGATTTCGGCCTGTTCTGGGCCGGTCGCAACGCCGACGACCATTCCATCGTCTTCAGCGTCGAAAAACTACGCAGTGTGTGAAATTTGGAGGCTGTACGATGCTGTCTTCTTGTTCTATGAGCGATCGATTTGCGCCAGGATACCAAATGTATGGAGTACATGTACATGTACATGTACATGGAGTTGATGGACTTGGCTGTAGTGTTGTTTATTTGTAGTTTCGCTGAGCTACCACATCAGATAAACCTCTGGTCGCTGTATCTGGAGAGTGGAGAAAGCCATTGTGCAGACAAATTGGTCAAGAGCAGATTTCCTGCCAATACTGCGTTCAATATGCAGCTGAAAATCTGCACAGAATTGACACTGACTGAGGATTTGCAAAATTGCAGCGCGCTAACGCAGTGCAGCTACGCAATGCCGTATGCACCGTGTCTGGAGTACATTGTCATCCACATAGCATGGGCAATGTAGGACCAGTGTATTTGTCGACTTTATAATTTACATCCAAATTACGCTTGCACAATCATCCGATAAATGAACTGTCTGTTGATTGTGCAAATCGTATGAATGAATTACATGTGACGTGCGACACCCCGCCCCGAAGTGCTGCACGTGCCGTATATGACTGGGAACAAGTTAGTTGTCCTTCTAAAGCTGATGATTTGCAGGACTGCTGCTGCCTTGGCCTGGCTGAAGCTTACATCGTGTTGCAATGGTGCAGCATACCTGTTAATTGGCTGAATGCATCCGGTCCCGCGGTGCAACATGCCCGGGTGCGGGTGCCGTCTCGGCTGAGTGTGTGTATGTTATTGATGCTTCATCTACATGGGGTAGATAACTGTAATCTCCTCCTGGTGATGTGTTTTTGTAGTACCCGTATTCCAGCCTGTGAAGGGTTACATCTTTCGTATCTATTTCGACTAATTTGTACGCGTTGCTATGGTGGTTGCTATGGGCGTAGTTTGAATTTGGCTAATTGGAATACCAAAAAAATTGGTCAAGTGATGGAAGCTCTCTATTGGCTATCATCTGTAGAAATTTGAAAGACCCTGAACGAAATTGATTTTCACCTTGTTCTAGTTGGTTTTGAATTTCCCGGTTTTGTGCCACTGGCCTGCATCAAAACTGTTCCAGAAAAAGTGCCAACAAGCGCACTTCAAACGATCATAACTCTTGAACGTCTGGTCGGATTTAGACAAACCTCATAATATATTTCCCGGCTAGTTTATCCTACTCTTTCCAATGAGACTAAAATCGAGGAGATCGGAGCAACTTTCAAAATCGTCCGAACACCCTACTTGAACCAGTGTTTTGCCACCAGATCTGACACAAATGCAGTGCAGAGCTAGAGAGACCATGGAGACGCACCTAGCAAATGCATGGCGTCGTGAAAACTCTTTCGCGTCTCCCTGCTTTCAACTACCGGTACTTCAAGTAAGTAAGAACTAAGATTAGTAGGCTAGTAGTACAGACTGTCAGGTACATGTAGGGGTGGTTTCGAAGATGGGAATAATTGGAGGTTCCGTCTTGAAAAGACTAAGGCCATTGTTCAACAGCGCAAATCTACCACTGGGCGGATACAAAGGAACTAAGATGGCGTGGTTGACGTCCACTGAAAGTGCAAAAAGAGAGGAGGACGGAAGGACATTAGCCAAAGTTGGTGTTTCGTTACGCTTCCCACAGCTTCATTAGCAGTCGTTACTCAACAAAACAACAGGGCTCAGCTAGTAGGTAGGATTCGTCCCCGCAGAGCCTCTAGGCTACTCCAGAAGCCGTGCGAAAATGACCTGAGAAGGTGAGGTTCAGCTCAATATAATTTGAAGGTTGCGGAACCAAATCCCGCATACGATAAAGGACAACTTTTCCAGTTGTTCCAGCCTGTGTCTTTGCCGATGCTGCAGGAATCCGAAACGTGCTTGGTTTTACGACAGTTGCTTGGACCGCTGCTGCGGCTGTTTGCAGCGAACTTGGCTTGACTGAGTTGGTAAGACAGTGGCTCTGATGGTAGCGTTCGTAGCGCTACACAAGCAAAATGCTCGAAGAATGGTCACGGTGACCTCTATCTCTCACTTGTGTGCTGATGTGCTGTACTGTGTTTATCTCACTCTCTCTCTGATCGGTTGAAACATTAGGATGGTTGTGGCTCACAAGATGTTGGCTAGCAGGAGGTGCAGCGTAGAGCAGTTGCTGACATTGTTGCTACTTCGAGGTGTCCTGTTGGCAAACTGGAGATCATTGCAATGCCAGTAAGTAGCACCACACCGTGCTATAGACTATAATTCTCCGACCTTTTACAATCCACAAGAGTGTCAGCCACTCGTATGCGCATGCCCCCCCCCCAAACCACTGGCATACACACCAAATACACACACGTCCGCGCGCACGCGCACGCACACACACACACGCACACACACACACACACAAACACACACACACACACACACACACACACACACACACACACATACATATGCCCCCCCCCCCACACACACACACAATGCATTAATAATTATTTATTGGCCCTGTAGGAGTAGGAGTCTCGTGGAGAAAACTCCTGTAAGGAAGCTAAACTTCAGCAAGTGGAATACAATTACAATAGCATACACAATATACAAAATAACAACTTTTCAGTGGTGCTAATGTAATGATGAACGTGGCAGTTGTCATACTCTCAGGCCTGCTGTAACCGCCGGGTCCAGTTCGCCAGGTCAACACCAGACCAATTTCTTTGCCATTAACTGAGTGTTTACTGCTAAGGAGGTCGTGTGCACGCGCCATATCATGCACAAAATATGAAAGGCTATGATATGGCCGGACCGATCAAAGACTGCTTCCGGCAGTCCTGACACTGCTGAATCAATACTTCTGTGTATGATGAGAACATCAAGGCCGCCGTGCAGAACCTGATATACAGTCGACTCCTGATATAACGAACGCCATTGTGCAGGATAATTAGTTCTTTATAGCCGAAGTTCGTTTATAACAGAAACACACTCACACTATAATACAAGCAGCAAGTCATGACCGGCAAGTGGCCCATGACAGTATGAGTGCACTTGATTTACATGCGGCCCTACAAGATTTGGTTCCTTAGAAACGAAACCTGTTCGCTTTAAAGGGTCTGTATTGTATGGGTTCAAACAGGGACATGGCAACGGTTCTTTTTATCACGAAATTCGCTATATGCGAGTTCGTTGCAAGTGGAGTCGACTGTACTTCTATACCATATTTTCCGGTGTATACTGCGCACTTTAGACGTGCTATTTTAGGCCCCAAATCGCAGGTGCGCATTATGCTCCGAATATGAAATGCATGTACTTCAATGAAGATTGAAGTGCGCACCCCCAATGAAGATTGGGGGTGCGCGTTATACAAAGGTGCGCACTATACTCCGAAAAATACGGTAATGAAAGTTGACATGTTCTCTGCTTCATGTGTAGGGCAGCTGCACTAAGCAGTCATGGATTTCCGACCAAGCTGAAAACTTCGTAAGAACCGTGTTCCATTGTCCATAGATTGTCTGTGTATGCATGCCATTAAAATTAATTGGTTTGTGATGATGTGGTACAGTACTGCCAGTCGTCGAAGAACTGGGGGCACTGCCTCCTAGCCTCCTAGCCTAGACCGTTCTTATTTTTCATGTATTACAGTCCATACATGGTTGAGTCGCCGTTTATACATTGGTATGCTGGACTTGGTGACATTCTTGGCTGGTCATTCTTCGGCGCTCCGTTCTTTGGCACCCGGCAGTACTGTATTTCAGAAATACAATACATGCTTACACGTAGAATGCAGGTCTGGCAAAATGCAGAGAACAACCCTGAGGAATTCTTCCCGGCAGCACTGCTAGCTAGTGATGGAGTCCTTGTAAGTGTTGATGATTGTTCCCTGTACAAAATGATTGATCTGAATGAAATTTGGATGAGTGGAGCAAGCTGCAGTCCTCTTGTACAGTGATGCATTCCCATGAGGCATACTGCACTCTTGAAAATTTCAATACTGATATAGCCCTGCGGGCCAGGCAACCACAGCATTTATGTTGCTATTTGAGGGATGAGGGTGGATCTATAGGGCTTGAAAGTGATGACGTCAAAAACGGCCAGGGAGTAGTAAGTTGACATCAGATTTCTATTTTGGATCCACTAAGGTGTGACTTTGCTATTGCCTCAGTATGTGGGTGCATAGCAACCCACTCATGTCGTATGCAGGGGTGACTTTTACTTCGCCACCAGTTGTAACCCCGCCCCCAGTAGCCAAATCAGTCAGTTTCACTGGCTACATCACCTTACTGCGAGTAAGACGGCTTGAAATGTGCTTGGATCCATACGAAAACTGGATCCAAGTGGATCCAGTTTTTGAATTTTTAAAATTGTTGCTATGCTGTGACGTAGCACTTTCAAGCCCTATTGGTACCTTTGTGTAATATAGTTGGTCACAATGCTCATAACATAATAATAATTATTATTATATTGAAAACAATGAAAAGGATCTACAAAATCCCTGGCCAACGTTGTTCTGAGCAAAGCCGCAAGACACTACACACATCTGTCTTCCAGGGGAAAGAATGAATTCCTATTGAAGAGTCTGCCCTGTTTTGCTGTTTCAATAGGTATATGGCAGAATAGTTATCTGTGATGATCATGGCCATCGTATGCTGATGTTATCTGTTCCACTATATTGTAGGTCGACTACTTCCCCAGTGCTATCAGTACCCGTTCCACTTGTAACACCTCCACAAGCAGCAGCAGAAGAAACAGCAACACCATTGCCTCCACCACCACAAGTTCCACCACAACCACCGGAAACGTACAAGTAAGTCAACTGCAAATTAACATTTTTGAAAGGATTGGGAGAACTTCAAATTCGAAGGATCAGTCGGGGAAGTGAACTGCCTGAAAAAAAGAAGAAATGCCAGACCCATCAGAACTCGAACCCGGGACCTTACTTGTCATGAGCAACGCTCTGACCAGCTGAGCTATGGGACCAGGCTGAACCTAGAAAGTACTGGCAAGTAGTTTTTGACTCCAAAGGCAGCTCACAACACGTGCCACACATACTGATGGCACTTGGGTCTTTTTCCCTCCCCTGGGGGACCAACCACGGCCAGTTTCTGGAACGTACTACCAAAGGTGAAAGAAAGTGATTAATTTTGGGAAGGGATTGGGAGAACTTCAAATTCAAAGGATCAGTCGGGGATGTGAACTGCCTTTTAAAGTTACCTTGCGTTGGACCAAGTTTCGTTTCCCTCGGACAATTGTCATAATCTTGGGCGTCTTTGTGCTCCGCCCATACAGCACAGCAACAACGACAGAGTTTCATAGCCAGTGGCTGGCAATGGCCATTATTCTATAATAATACTGTAATCATAATCTTCTCTTCTTTTTGAAACTTGGATGTTGAGCCATAAATAAATGTAGAAAGGAAAAAGACATTATGGATGATACGAGTTAAGAGTAACTCTCCATCACTGTAACATGACTTAACCCTTTGCCGGTCTAACTCAATGTATGTGAGGGGTGGTCACGCAAATACATGTACACACAACCAGCAATAACTCCAGAACCATGTGATGTAGGTATGGGTAAACCATATATTTTCAAAATCTGTATGCCTGAACGCGTCCATAAAATTCAAATATGACTAGGTCCAGGCAAGGATAGGGCCCATGGTAGCCCTTCAAGTTGCGAGAAAATACAATTGCGAATGAAATACACGAATATCACAGCACGAAGGGCGTACCAAGTTCGTGGTGGAGCTGAAGTCGTACGATAAACAATCAGGTAAGGGCTACGTCTTTACAAGGAATGTAGGCTCTCTACAATACCGCCATTGAACACCAACACCTCGCCATCAGCGATACGCCAGCAGCAGCAATTCCCATTCCACGATATCGCAGTTTCGGTTTGTTCATCTCAGCGCTGCTCGCGTCAGATTCACTCTCGCTCAGATGAGTACTCAGGCGCGAGCTTATGCATGCCGTGATTCTCACGGCCAGGTGAATCAGCTGATCGCACATGACGAGTCCTTGTGACAGTCGCTGTCGCCGTGTCGGCTGCAAGAAGGCTTCCTCTCTGTTTGGAGAATTTTGTTTCTTCATTCGTGGACGATATATTTTTGAACTAGCAGGACTCAACGGAGCTCTTTTTCTCAACACACTACACTGCAAAACCTCCCGGGAGATCCAGTCTGGACTGGTGATGTTACTGCTCTCAGAACGCTTGTCAAACACGGCCCCAAGAGATGCACTCGCATTCTCGGAATGCGCGCATGGCGGATGGTCGTCTTTTCCAATTTCAACAAACTTCAGTCGATCTATACGGCAAAAATTTGTATGGTAAGCATGGTTGTTTTGTACATCGTCAGAAAGCCTTGGACCTCAGCTACGCGTAGAGCGCCATTTTAGCTGTCTCCTAGCAACAAGACCCCAAAAAAATGAGGGCCAAACGTACCGGTACTATAGTATCGATTCGCTTATGGTAGACCGGTAAAGGGTTAACTCGTATCATCCATAATGTCTTTTTCCTTTCTCTTCTTTTTCTTTTTTTAATTCAATTGTTTTGGACTAAGTACATAAACATCTTGCACTGCGATACAACCAGTTCCCCGACAAAGCAATTACACTATCCCAAAAAAAACAACCAGCCAGATCAATGCGAAAGGCATTTGCGTCTACGACACACCCCTGCCCCTACAACATACTTGTTGCCGCTAAGAGCCTATTCAGGCTGACAGCCCACCCTACCTAATTAACATTGCGGAAAGCAACAACAACCCAAAAACAACCCAAAAGTAAAACAAACAAACAAAAAACAACACCAAAAAACACGCACAAGAAAGGAAGAACGCGATATTCCACAGTTCTCCACCGACTGTGGGTGGGTGAGAAGATGGACACGGAAATCCTGAGTTCACGTGACCGAATGTGGGTGGGTGGTAGGGTTCTGGTCCTATCAGAGAAGTAGGCCAATGCGAAGTGACGACCACATTGGGCTGTGTTTGCTTTGCGGAGACGTGCACTGAACCACCATGATTGCCATGGCTACGCACAAAGACACGTGCTTTCCAACTCTCTTACGGCCGTTGGAAAGCGTAACGTCTTTGTGCTCCGCCCATACAACACAGCAACAACGACAGAGTTGCATAGCCAGTGGCTGGCAATGGCGACAGAGAGGATAGTCATTGCATCCCTTTCGGGATTTGAAACAAGGCTTCTTGGGACTCCTCAATATATCCTAGCATAGACTCCAAATGTCGCCAGCCGCCGTGTTGTTGCACTAATCGCACGGGTAACCCTGGGTTCCGCAGTGCAGACGACACACCACCAGACCGCAGACTATGCAGACCAACTCTTGACGGCCACTCATAGGCTGCGTAACACCCGACTCGTGACACATCCGGAGCAAGAGCTCCCGGGCTCTGGAGTATGTAAGATTGCCACGGATGACTTGAACACCACCCACGGCATGCACTTTGGCAAACAACGGGAGTCCTGGTAGATGGTGTGCTCGAGAAAGAAATCTCTCCATCCAGGTCATTGCGCACACAGAGGTATCCTCTATACGACTGATAGGCACTATGTGCCATTCACGGAATTGATCATTCTTGCAGCTTTCTATGAACACTGACATGTGCCGTGCGGAGATATTGATGCTATCTGGCTGTAATCTGACCATATCGCCCCAGCGTAGGAATCCTCGGAATCCTAGTAGGATGAGCGTCATCATTTGCAAATGGACCAATGACGGCTCAGACTGACTGAAACACTGGATCAGCTTCCTGATGTCCTGCAGTGTAAATGGCGTCTTCTTCTGAGCAGGTCGTGCTAATAGACGATGGCAGCCTTGTAGCGTCTGCCGGACTAACTCTGAGCAACATGGCGCGTCGATGCATGCCTGCGATGCGACGGCGCGTCGATGCATGCCTTATGATGAGCCCAGTTGATTGCTGAATATGCTGCATCCACTGGTGCGCTGGACTTCGCTGTCAAAACTAACTCCACCAGATATAATGCAACGTGTTCACTTGTTGCTGGCAGTGCCTGTACTTGCACTGATTGGCACCACTTGCGGAACCTGTCGAAGGACCCACTATACTTCTCGACTGTGGCAGCGGAGTGCTCACATGCAGCAGCCGCCGGCAGGTTGCTTGCGAGTCGCTGAAGGCGCGGGTGTGTTTACTCGGAGACTTTCTTCCAGACTTCCGAAGTTCCTAGCAATAACAACATCCGGCAAACCCCAAGAGGCACATACACACATACACAGCACGCATATAGGACACAACTCTGCAGAGAGACTTCACCCAATGGCCTGGTATAAAGATGAATTATCATCATAAACCCTTAGGTACTAACTACAGCTCATGGGAACCCTTGGGTCCAGGCTCAAGGTGCACCACAGGGGTTATAACAAAGCGGCCATCTGGGTAGCCACCTGCTCTCTCTCTCTCTCTCTCTCACCTCAGATGTTGACTCTAAAAATTAGCTTTCCTCTACTTGATACGGGTAATACCTCGCACAATCTTTCTCCTCCTCAATAGCACACACACACAATAGCTATTCAGTCTAACTCCAACTTCTACCGTTGTATGGAGCAAGCGGAGCAAGGCCGCCCCATACACTTTCACAATTCTTCACACAATCTGTGACTTGTACATACGTTAGCTATACGTATGGAAACTATTCCAGAAACTCATGCTGTTGTGAAGCCACCAAATACACCTTCACAACTCTTCTTCTCATCTTTTCACCTCGTCCGTCTCATGCACATACTTGCGCCAACAAATACACTTTCACGACTCTTCCTCTCATCACTTCACATCACTGCCGGGTCTCATGCACATGCTCATAACTAATCAACATAGTCTAGAAGCTCATGCCGTTCTATGGCGTAGGGGGTGTAAATCCACCAACTACACTTTCATAACTCTACATCTCATCGTATCACATCTCTTCATACCTCACCTCCTACATCTCATCGTATCACATCTCTTCATACCTCACCTCCTACATCTCATCGTATCACATCTCTTCATACCTCACCTCCTACACCTCATCGTATCACATCTCTTCATACCTCACCTCCTACATCTCATCGTATCACATCTCTTCATACCTCACCTCCTACATCTCATCGTATCACATCTCTTCATACCTCACCTCCTACATCTCATCGTATCACATCTCTTCATACCTCACCTCCTACATCTCATCGTATCACATCTCTTCATACCTCACCTCCTACATCTCGTATCATATCTCTTCATACCCCACCTCCTACATCTCATCGTATCACATCTCTTCATACCTCACCTCCTACATCTCATCGTATCATATCTCTTCATACCTCACCTCCTACATCTCATCGTATCATATCTCTTCATACCTCACCTCCTACATCTCATCGTATCATATCTCTTCATACCTCACCTCCTACATCTCATCGTATCATATCTCTTCATACCTCACCTCCTACATCTCATCGTATCATATCTCTTCATACCTCACCTCCTACATCTCATCGTATCATATCTCTTCATACCTCACCTCCTACATCTCATCGTATCATATCTCTTCATACCTCACCTCCTGATCAGTAGCACTAGTGCGACTTCATGAATAATAGCAGCCTAGGCTTGTTGGTTTGGCACGAAGGTAGTAAAGTAGTACATTTGCATAAGTTGTGTTTTGCGGAACTGTACACTATGCCTTAGGTTATCACTAGTGTAGGGTTTCATTTTATCAACTACATAGTCATATTTCACGCTTGTTCGGTTTCTCACACTCAGTGCACCTCACACTTGCACCTTTTACTTGC